GCCCCAGCTGCATTGTTATTCCTGCATCCCGACTCAACTCACAGCAAACTTCTGCTGAGTCACAACAGGTATCCATCAATAGAAATACAACAGGGGAGACATGTTTCCATGCTAGTGCTCAACCCTTCTTTCTCCAGGGTTTCTGGTCTCAACATTTCAAATCAAATGTTTATTTTTATCAAAAACCATATGGAAAGTCACATTTACCCAGAGATTTAGTTTGCTCATATTTCTAAAAAAATGCTTTATGACCAGACTAGGTTTATTACAAGGGAGATGAGAAAAACCAATAAAGAAAGATGTCTAGAAAAATACAGGCAGGCATGAGTGTTGTTATTTGTGTCACAAATAATATCAGGAAGCTAAAATCATATCTGTCAAAGCTGATGCAGCGTTGCAAAGTTAGCTTGTGAATTGGCTTCAGAGAGAAATTCCATAATGGAGTAAGCAACACAACGGCACTATAATAAGAATGTCAATGTTCTGACCTAGGCTTCCTGAGACAGTAAAAGCACATGCTTAGTCCCCAAAACCCTCTTTTTATTTCAACGGCTGTGAATTATGTTCCTTCACAGCCTATAATGAGTCACAAATAATTTGTAAAAAGTCTGACAGAAGTCTGCCAAAGTCTTTCAGAATAAGGCTGGTAAGCACCCACCTTTATCTCCCTTGAAATGCTGCCAAAGACCTAATTGGCAATTAGCTTTGCAAGGCCACATGGAGCACAGAGTCAAAACGGAGCTTCAGAATTTAAACCGACCAGCACGAACAAAGTCTCTTCCTGCAAAAGCTCAGGTGCCTTTACTCTTCCTTTATGTCTTATAGGAGGGGCCAATCATCTCCAAGCCTTACTCCTGAGTCATCCCTTTTGTCTTTACTGTTCTTGCCTTCTGGAAGCTCTGCGCATGTGTGCACTGGGAACAGGCTCCTCCTGTTCCTCTGCCTCGCTGATGTCCAACTCTGGAGGCTGCACATAACTCCCAGATGGCCTTGGCCCCTCTCTGTATCCAACACAGAGCCCTCATCCGAGCTTTCCCCAGACTCCAGGACTGCCAATGTTCCTCCCCAACCTCCTCACAGTCTTCTGACAACACTCAGATAAATTGTAAACTGGCTTTGAAGAGGCAAAGTCCAGTGGTGAAGGCATCAGGTTAGAAAGCGGGACTGTGACTTCTAGTACTGCCTTAAGTATAAAAGTATTTTTGGGCCAGTCACTCTCTCTCAACCCAATCCACCTCACAGGATTGTTGTAGTGAAAATAAGAGAAAGGGGTATGTTTGCCACCTTGAGCTATTTATAAAAATAATAAAGGTGTGACATCAGATCACATCACACCATATATCACATCATATCATATCACAACATAACAATATAACATAACCTCTGTTTATACTGTACTAAGAAAAAGTTCAAAGGGCAATGCAGTTATCTGACAGAGAATGGTGTCTTTATCTGTCATGAACACCCTGCAACCGCTAACACATTAATCCTAAAAAACTATGGTTTCAAAGAGTTGTGCCTGAATACAATGTGTTAAACCAGTTTTTCTCAATCCTAGCAACTTTTAAGATATGTAGATTTCAACCCACAGAATTCCCCAGCCAGCCATATGAGTTAGAGAATTCTGGGAGTTGAAGTCTACATATCTTAAAGCCGCCAAGATTGAGAAACATTGTGTTAGTCAATACTAAATCAGTTAATGAGAAAAAAAATATTAATTCAGGGAAAGGATATATAGTTAAATTCATTCTTTCAGTGTAGCTGAAGTGGCTTTTTCTGATATATGACTCTCTTGATCCCAAATAGATAAAATTTTGTACTTTCCTACAATATTTCACTATCTTATACAATACAGGTGAAGTGGATCTGTCTGATATGTGATTCTCTTGACTCCCAAATAAATAAAACTTTCTACTTTTCTACAGCGTGTCAACTGCACTATACAATTCTTCTCCTTTAAAACAAAACAAAACAATGTCTGGGGAACCTTTATCTACAGATGCATCAGCAAACAAGAGATTAAAAACTCATTTTTCTTACTTCTTTTCAACTGGCTTTGTTTTAAGCTGGTGCTTGTCTTCCATAAATGAGTTGTTTAGAGCCCAGTGCAGTCGCTAGAGGAAAAACCCAAAATAAATTAATCAGAAGGGAAATTGTCCGTGCATTTTAGGTAGAATGAATATATTCTGGAGGGAATGCAGTATGGAAATAAAACTGTTTGCCTAATTTATCATTGTTACTGAATGTTGTATCTTTATGACAAGTCCAAAGTTGTGGCTCCTCATATTTGCTAATACTGCACGTTAGTAAAGGACTTGAGATTAGATGGTTGCATGGAGATTCAATCCAGAAGTTTCCTAGGGCAGAGCTGGGGGAGGCAGAGACAGAGTTACAGATTCAGCCATACAGCCAGAAGCGTTGCCAGGCAAGGTAACTAACTGGAGGCAAAATGGGCCAACAGGCTGATTAAATATACCAATTACTGTATGTGTTTTAGATCAGAAATGGGAAATGTATGACCATCATGATGTTAACTATATGGTGCCTACACTCAAAATGAAAAACTGGGGGAAAGACTGTAGGGCTGCAAGTTCCAGATGACCTAGGGCAGTGGTGGGTTCTGGATCCCGTTGCAACCGATACGGTGCAACGGGGCTGGGCGTCCACCACATGTATGTGCATGCATACTTATCACCTATGATGCTCAGCAGAGAATTGCGCAGGTGCCGTACGCTCTGTGTGCATGAGTGAAAGCCCCGATTAGCTCAAATATAGGTAAGGTGGGCGAGTGGGCCCTCAGGAGCACCGTACCAGAACAGTACCTGGTGCTCCAGCAGGAACCGGTACACCCGTACTGGGGCGTACTGGTCGTATCCCACCACTGACCTAGGGACTGAATGTAATAAGAATGGCCTTTCATGGCTGATACAGAGAAGCTTTAGAGAATAATCACATGGAAGTGCAAGTTTCTCTTCCTCCATATCATAAAGAGTATGGGAAAGAGAGGAGTCAACCCAGAAGAACATTCTGATGGCAGAAGCTTATGTCATCCTTAAACATTAAAATGTGCACAGAAAACAAAATGGTGGACAGCTAAAAAGGATAAAGCAAGTAGGAATTCAAGTATGGTTTTTGAGTTTCTTGAGTAGCAATGACTAAGGCACAAAAAGCTCACCAGCAATGTTTCCTCATTACTGAGAGCTTAGATTGTGGTTTGAGGGACCACCTGTAGGTAGAGGTTAAAAAAAGTTCAATGGACAATTCTGCAGGACAAAACAACCCGCAAGATTGATGTGATGTCTCGGTATTGTGTCTGTAGCTCATGCTTTGCATGGAACAGGAAATTTACCATAGAGATGTTGATCCTCACGGTGAACATAAGCTGTAGGGCATCTTGACAGCTTGAAAATGTTAAAAGTTCTACACTGAATGCATACATTTATGAAATTGTTCACGAGTTAATACCCTTTCCATTTTAATGCATATTATTTATAATATGAAAACAGATAAAAGTTTTGTTCCTTCTGTCCATGTTGGAGAAATAGACTTATGTTACTGTAATAAAATAGATGTAATACAGTTGGCATGCAGTTTTTGAGACACTGTGGTTGAAATCCAGAAAATATTGTGATATTTGTAACTGCTAGATACTGCAAGTAACCAGAAACTTTATTAGAAAAATAAAAAAAAAATCAAAACTAAAGATATATGATTTTTCTGCATTAGTGTGTTAACAAGGAGTTCCAAATTTATTGAGAAAATTCCTTTGTCTGCAAATTGTATGAAATCTTAGTCACTTTTCCTAAAACTACCTTATGTATTTTTCTCAAAAAACAAAAGTCAGATAATTTTTTAAATAGTATTATTATTTCTGTTTTTTCCAGTCAGTTGGAAAGATGCATTAAAAGGAAGGAAGGAAGGAAGGAAGGAAGGAAGGAAGGAAGGAAGGAAGGAAGGAAGGAAGGAAGGAAGGAAGGAAGGAAGGAAGGAAGGAAGGAAGGAAGGAAGGAAGGAAGGAAAGAAAAAGACAAAGGTAGAAAGACACAAAGAATACTATTATCCCAGATTTTGCTTCTTAATTGTGGTTGGGATGTGATAAGACCTCAAGAACAGACCTGGAAATACCATCTATTGAATCCAATCATTTCAGTAGGACTCCAGTTCCAGCCAATGCAGAATCTGATCATTCCCTTTGAGAGACTTAGGCATATGTACCTGACTTGTATGGAGCCAATATGTCATCTTGGATTTCTTTTTAATTCGTGGTATCATTAACCTGTATATGATATGTTCTCCAATGGTAGTGAGAATAGACAGGCCAAATCCAACACACAACATCACAAATAGCCCGGAAAAGTGCTTGATGCCCATTTGTAGGGTCTGTTAGGAAAAACAAAAAAAGGGAAATCCATGTACAAATTTATAAAATGGGAACACACATGCAGCAAAATCGACAATTATTTTTATACAACCCTTTCACTTGATTTTCTTCCCAGGAAATTCTCTGGAGTCCATTTGATGCCATATAATGGGCTGTAGCCAAAAATGAAAATTTGCAAAATCGCCCTGACACAAGAGAGTTTTAATTGCCTGAGACATGGAATTAAACTTGGCTCTACCAGGTTACTGGGACCCAACCTATTGTCAGGGTTCAAACATAAAGTTGCATACTCAGTGATAAGGCCTAGCTGCCTTTGGACTGGCTTAGTAGAAGTGAGAGATGGCTGTAAACTACTTGCAATTTTAAGTACAGTTACATTACAGTTGTAACTCAAGGACTCCCTGCAACTCACAATTCCCTGAAGCAGCACTTCTCTGAACATTGTGAGACTTTACTCTGGGGAGAAAATTAAACCAGCAGGAGAGGTTAATAATTTTAAGAGGAGTACTGATATCAAAGAGCTCATCAGTGCTAGTAGGGAATGGTAAGGACTCCTTACTAGCATTGATGATGTTACTGTACCTGGTTTTGGCAATGAAAGATCTGCAACAAAACAAGTGAGCTCAGACCAAGGACCCTCATTTCAACCAAATATTCTCATTTATCCTTTATTGACATGTCCTGAGATAGCTTGAGACCTTTTGGGTGAGTTCCGCAATCTCTCACACAATTGGGCTTGTAAAATTTCTTTCTTCCAAGATGGCTACTTTGAGATCTGTAATGGAGGGTAAATGCTTTACATTGCCCTTGATTTGAGTCCAGGGGTGAAATTCAGCAGATTCTGGAGAACTGGTAGTGGACATTATAAATAGTTCAGAGAACTGGCAAATACCACATCTGGCTGGGCCCTGGAATGGGTGGGAATTGAGATTTTGCAGTATCCTTCCCCTGCCAGCCCCACCAAGCCATGCCCACAGAACCGGTAGTAAAAAATTTTGAATTTCACCACTGAGTCCCAATGCCAAATTTGATCCATCAATTCCTTTACATTATGTAAAATCCTTTTACATAAGCCTTGCCCAGTGTATCATACTAAAGGTTATCAGCAGATGATAGCATATATCAGATAAGCATGAGAAGCACCTCTAATTTTGTGCGTGTACTTATTGTGGCCTGTAATAATACTGTTGGTATAGGCATGGAAGCAAAACGGAAATCTGAGTTTGTTTCAGGGTTTGGTTTCCATGTTAGCATCATTGTCCAGTTATTTCTTGTTGCTTGTTGGAAACTGCTCCAGTTGAGTGATGGTCTGTATGCAAGAATGGGCCCACCAGAAATTATGCAGACAATGAGGTTTGTGAAAAATGATGAAACATTAGTTTCATACTAATGTTTCAACTAGATCAGCTAAATATAGAACATAGAATTATAAGGCTAGAAGGGACCTCAGAGAACTTTTAATCTTGTGATGGTGAACCTATGGCCATATCTCCTGGCATGCAAGCTCTCAGCTCCAGCATGCATGTGTGCATTGGCCAGCTGATTTTCAGCCTTCCGGAGGGCCAGGGGAAGCCATTTTCACCCTTCCCAGGCTCCAGGAAATCCTACGGAACCCGGAGAGAGCAAAAAACTGGCCCAACAGGTTAACCGGAAGTTCGGAAATGATCCATTTTTGGCTTCCAGAGAGCCTCGGGAGGACGGGGAGAAACCATTTTCATCCTTCCCAGGCTTCAGGAAAGCTTCAGGAGCCCAGGGAGGGCAAAAAACAAGCCCAATGGACCAACCGAAAAACGGCCTCCCTCGCCACCCCGGAGGAAATATCAAGCTCAGCTTGGAGGCAAGCAGTAATGGCGTGCTTGGGGGGGGGGGCCTGGGGTGTGTGCATGTATGCATGCACCTGTGGGGTACGTACTTTGCAGTGACGTGCGGTGAGTTTTATGGCTGGTGAGGTAGCAATTTTTTTAGACTTGTAGACTTCAACTCCCAGAATTCCATAGCCAGGCATGCTCAGTTCCGATTTAAAGCAACAGCATTTGTTTTTCTCCTTTGCTAAATAAGTTTCCTTCTTTCTTTTTCTTTTCCCTGCCCCTCCTTCCTCCCTTCCTCTCTCCCTCCCCCCTCTCTCAAACACACATACACACAAAGTTGCACCANATACATACATACATACATACATACATACATACATACATACATACATACATACACATAGGCAATATAGGAAAAAGAAACTATGAACCCCACGACTTCTTGGGCCTACCTTTCCAGCTTCCCCTCTAGCTAGGTTTCTTTATTCAATTGTAGTGTTGAATTGCTTGTGAGCTTCTCCAATTGGATCCAACCCATTGGTGGGATTCAAATATTTTTACCACAGGTTCCATGGGTGTGGCTTGGTGGGCATGTTGTGGATTGGTGGGCGTGGCTTGGTGGAAGTGGCAGGGAAGGATACTGTAAAATCTCCATTCCCTCCCCATGCCAGGAGAAGATTATTGCAAAATCCCCATTTCCTCCCGATTAGCTGGGATTCAGGAGGCAGAGAATACTCGGGGTGGGCCAGTCAGAGGTGGCATTTACCAGTTCTCTGAAATACTTGAAATTTCCGCTACTGGTTCTCCAGAACTGGTCAGAACCTGCTGAATACCACCTCTGATGCAACCCCAGGTCCCAACCTAAGTCCAGCAGATTTTCAGGCTGACCAAACAACAAAATGAGTACAAATCTATTGCTGTTTTATGAATAATCTTCCTGTTTGGACAAAAACTTCATCTAGCCCAGTATTCTGCCTTCCAAAATACTCCCCAGAAGCTTCCAAGAAGTCTCCTAGCAGCTTAGGGTGACTAAGGTCCTGTATTCTTGCACTTTGTCTTTCTAGTAACTGGTGCAAATGATTAAATGACAGAAAATCTGGCCACTGTTTTAATTTGCAAGGATAGGCAAGAAGAATGATAGAAACATTCAGCTGGAACAAGCCTTGAAGGAAACTGATCTTCCAGAAGTCACTGAGCCAGATCGTCATCAGTAAGGTTGGCTGGAAATTGCACACAACCTCTGGAAATCTATGGAAAGCTATGATTCCCCCAACTAGGTTTCTAGGTTTCAAGTATTTTTAATTTAAACACTACATCTGATATTATTATTATTTCTCTATGCGGAGATATGTATGTATAGTATTGGGAAAAACAGCTTCAGTACTGATTGAAGATGGTAGAATGGTTGTGTATCTCAGGGACAGCAATTTTGTTCAGTGTTCCTCATTTCTGTCTTTCGTACAAATCTAAAAGCATTGATCAGAGTTATTGAGTAGAAAGTCATTTTTTACACTGTTTAACTGCAATGGTTTGCTATTTTTGTGTCTGTGGTTTGGCAACGTGATCACAATTAATTTGAACAGGTATCTGTTCTGACCCCCCTTCTTCGCTCGTTAACAGACGACAGTCAGACAGACTTAAAAGGAAAGAACTTTATCAGCCTCAGCTCACGCTGGCTGCGAACCCAAAAATAAACATAAATAAAGTCTCTGGCAAGAAGATAACAGAATGCAAAAACAAAGATCTCTTACAAAGCAATTCACTTCTCTAAGCGTCTCTTTGAATCAAGGTTACAGAAAGCAAATCACTTATCCAAGTGTCTCTCACAAACAAACCTCGACCGATGAACGTTGACTTCTGCC